GCTCATGGTTAACCTGTTGTCCACCAGGACGCCCAGGTCCCTCTCCGCAGAGCTGCTCTCCAGCAGGTCCGCCCCAAGCCTGTACTGGTGCATGGGGTTGTTCCTCCCCAGGTGCAGGACCCTGCATTTGCCTTTGTTGAACCTCATCAGGTTCCTCTCTGCCCAACTTTCCAGCCTGTCCAGGTCACGCTGAATGGCAGCACAGCCTTCTGGTGTACCTGCCACTCCTCCCAGTTTGGTGTCATCAGGAAACTTGCTGAGGGTACATTCTAACTCTTCATCCAGGTCGTTGATGAGGAAGTTAAACAAGACTGGACCCAGTACTGACCCCTGGGGGACACCACTTGTTGCCAGCCTCCAACTAGGCTCAGCGCCGCTGACGACAACCCTCTGAGCTCTGCCATTCAGCCAGTTCTCCATCCACTTCACCGACCACTCATCCAGTCCACACTTCCTGAGCTTCCCTAGGAGGATGTTATGGGAGACTGTGTCGAAAGCCTTGCTGAAGTCAAGGTAGACAACATCCATGGCTCTCCCCTCATCTACCCATCCAGTCATGTCATCGTAGAAAGCTATCAGATTGGTCAGGCATGATTTCCCCTTAGTGAATCCATGCTGACTACTCCTGATAACCTTCTTTTCCTCCACTTGTTTGTTGATGACCTCCAGGATAAGCTGCTCTATCACCTTTCCCGGGATGGAGGTGAGGCTGACCGGCCTGTAGTTCCCTGGGTCCTCCTTCTTGCCCTTTTTGAAGACTGGAAGGACATTTGCCTTCCCACACCACAGAATCACAGAATGCTTTGGGTTGGAAGGGACCTTTAGAGGCCATCTAGTCCAACCTCCCTGCAGTAAGCAGGGATAGCTTCAACTAGACCAGGTTGCTCAGAGCCCCGTCCAACCTGACCTTGAATGTTTCCAGGGATGGGGCTTCCACTGCCTCTCTGGACAAACTGGTCCAGAGTTTCACCACCAAACAAGACACATTTCACTACATGGGCACACTAGTGCTCAGCAGTGACATAACATCAGGATCATTATGCCCGGCTTAATTCTTATAGCACAATCCAGAATTCCCAGACATTAATTTTGTGACAGCTCATGATTCACAGGCAGGTCTCAACAGGAGCCCAGCCTTACAGACACTGAAGGCAAACACACTGTGTGTTCATTTTGAGGCACTGTGGTTAGGTGAAGAAAACTCACATCTGTCACATAAGACAGAGAGGAACAACCCCATGCATCAGTACAGGCTTGGGGTGGACCTGCTGGAGAGCAGCTCTGTGGAGAGCGACCTGGGTGTCCTGGTGGACGACAGGTTAACCATGAGCCAGCAGTGTGCCCTGGTTGCCAAGAAGGCCAATGGGATCCTGGGATGCATTGAGCAGAGTGCGGCCAGCAGGTTGAGGGGGGTTCTCCTTCCCCTCTACACTGCCCTAGAAAGATGAGGAGCTACTGGAGAGAGTCCAGCAGAGGGCTACAAGGATGGTGAGGGGACTGGAGCATCTCTCCTACGAGGAGAGGCTGAGGGAGCTGGGCTTGTTCAGCCTGAAGAAGAGAAGGCTGCGAGGGGACCTAATAAATGCTTATAAATATCTCAAGGGTGGGTGTCAGGAGGATGGGGCCAGACTCTCTTCAGTTGTGCCTAGCGACAGGACGAGGGGCAATGGGCACAAACTGAAGCAGAGGAAGTTCTGTCTGAACATGAGGAAGAACTTCTTCCCTCTGAGGGTGATGGAGCACTGGAACAGGCTGCCCAGGGAGGTTGTGGAGTCTCCTTCTCTGGAGATATTCAAGACCTGCCTGGACAACGTCCTGTGCAGCCTGCTGTAGGAGACCCTACTTCGTCAGGGGGGTTGGACTAGATGACCCACAGAGGTCCCTTCCAACCCCTACCATTCTGTGATTCTGTGACACCCTGAGGTTTATTCCAGTCTCAGCCAGCAGAACTGTTTTGTACAATTCAACAGCTCCTCAGACATGAAATCCTACTCAAAAAACACAGGGAATGATGAAGAAAAGGAGGATTACTTTTGCAGCACAAATGATGGGACTGCCCCTTCGAAAATCCTTATTGTTAGTGAAATAAGAATGATCAGATGCAGATGTCCAGGTTACACAGCTTTATCATATGTTCAGCTGTTCAATGAAGTGAAATATTTGCTGCCAGTAAACACGATACTACTTATGTACGGAAGGCCATTGCTTTCTACATTTACTTTTCCCTTTGATTGTCTGTTATTTCAGCGTTTTTCTTGTCCAAGGTCTTGTTTTCTGGTGGAATCATTGGGACTGTATTTACAATTAGCTCATAGAGGCTGAAACTAGCTGTCTTAGTAACTAAGATGGCCAGATGCAAGGAAAAAGCTATCGAGTCTTAGGGACACACAGCACTCCTGGGCTCGAATGTTGTTACTGTTTTTTTCTGTATTTTTATTCTGCTGTAAGCTGACATATAGTGACCCCTGTGCCATGTCCACTCAAGATTATGAGCAGGCAGAAATACAAAGCAGGCACTACTACTTTAACGAAACAGGGTCTGTTTGGCCCTGTAACAAGAATCCCAGACTGACATCATGTCAACGCAATACAGAAGCAGAGAGAAGTTTAAGCACGTCTTCCACCTTCAGTGAAACACGATCACATAGCACTTTGATAACAGATGTCTTTCACTCCAGAGAGTGTGCTGGTGACACATTTTGTGCTCTGCTGCACGCTTATAAACAACAGGGATGATATGCATCCTTCTGTCTTTATAACTGGATAAACTCGGACTTAACTGGACAAACTTGGACGTATCAGATGAACCACAACCTTAAAAATAAGGCACTACTTAATCACAGCAATAACTTACCTCAGCCATGATGCATTCCTCACTGATAGAAGTGTGTAAGTGAAAAGCGAATTACTTTTTCTGAAAGAAGAGTCTCTAATTCAAGCCCCACTACTGAATATGAATTAGGAATAATTTGAGAAAAAAACTTCACATCTGTTGATTAAAAGTAAGAAATAGTGCTTATTGGCAAACTAATGTAAATTTGAAATAATGATAAAAATTGCAGGAAAGCAGGATAAAAGGCAGTACCTACAAAACCTGGAAGTCCCCTAAACACAAGGAGCTGTTTGCTCATAATTTCTTTTTTACTCTGGGGATTAGTCATGTTATGAAAAGAATGTGTTGAGCGATATAGAGGACTGCTATATTGATGATGCCTGTTCTTACCTGTCTCTTGTACGTCTCCAGCTGACTGCGTGCTGCATTGGCCTTCCTTAGTTCTTCTTCCAGGCTCACAGTATTTTGCATGTACACAGTATTCTTCTCTTCTAAGAGTTTCACTTGCCGCCGCAAATCACCCAGGTCTTCCAATTTCTTTTTATATGACTCTACCTGGCTTTCTAACTTGGCTACTTTATCAGAAGAATGCCTAGAGGGGACAGATTTGTATCAAATTCGTACTCTGAAAACTAACAAAATGAAATGTCCTGAAGCTTCCCCAGTGTTTTGCCTTAATGCAGAAGACATTCCAAAACATCATGGGGACAATAAGAAAGTAATCATATTCTCCTGTTACTAATGCTTTCACTTTTAAATTGTCTGCTTCCCTCCCATAACTATTTGTCAACTCAAAGAGCTGCTCATGGAGATACATTTAGACACTAAAACTCTTCCTAAGACAGCCTTCTTGTCCGCTTCCAATCTTAAAATAATAGTTAAAGCATCTTCACCCCCACTCACCTCTTCAATTCTAAATCCATCCTCAGCCCTGAATTTTACAAGCGTAAAGAATAAAATTATCTGCTTTTCAACTTGTTTGAACAATAGCCAGGAATAAAATCGTAAAGATCCATCCCCTCAACAGCAAATACTTGGTGACACAGAAGTATCATAAGTTCTATGTTGAAGTCTAAGAAAGGCTATATTTAGGGTTTGGACCTTATTCTTTCTAAAAAAAATTAAACACCAGGCTCTGTTCATAACATTTCAGAGTTTTTTCAATCCGGCTGTGCACTGCCAGGACAGCAATAGCCCTCACCTCCAACCACCCACACCTCCTCTACTGTCATGGTTTCATTTGAGAACCAATCGATTTACAGACTCAATTTCCTATGAAACCTGGAGAATCCCCCATTGAATTGATTGTCAATTTATGGGACACTGGGGGAAGCCAAATCTCCTTAATACCCAATGAAGTGCAGAGCCTCCCTTTGGGGCAAGGAATTGCTCTCTGAACCCATGCTGCTCATACAGTTTATGGAATTGTGCAGCCTGATGGGCTCACCCCTGACATTAATGACAGAGAAGGTAAAGACAGATAGCTTTGGTAGAAAGCTACTGGTGAATTAGAAGAGGCAGTATTAAAATCAGCTTTGCTAGAAAGAGTGATACAGGTGGGTAGTGGATAACTGTTCTGAACAACCCATGGCAGCAAGACACCACCACTGAAGGACTATATCCCATAGTAAAAAGGGCTACCCCACCCCATACACCCCTAGCATCATCAAATCATAACAACTTTGGGTGCTAGTGCAACAGAGAGCTGTAACAGATGTTGTTCGTATTAGTATTATATGACAAACCAAAAGCGAGACCCAAAGTCCAAATAATGCAAACCCAGGAAAGGAACTGGTCTAGTTGCCTGATGAGAGAATAGGTGCCCAGGTCACGATGCACGTGAGTACAGAATATTCAGAGACCACTGAGTGACTTGTTATGACTGCAAGATGGTGTAGGATTGCTCAGGCTACTAACAGTTACTGATTAGGTACATAATAATTAACTAATTTACTTAAGCAGAATTGTGTGGTGGTCTGTGTACTCAACTGGAGGATCCAAAAGAACCTTGGCATTGAGAAAGCATTATATTTATACTAAAATATTTAATACTAGTAATTAATACTAAAACATTATATTTAATACTAAAATTAAATGAAACCTAATGAAGACTAAGTACATGAATTACATGGATTAAAAGTTTATAGTTAAAAAAGGGCTAGTAGAACAGAGTTTACCTGAGTACATCTATCTCATCCTTCAAAGACTGAGCCTCCTCTGCCAATGCAGTAAGCTCTTCTGTTTGTTGTCTCAGTTCAGCAATTTCTTTTTCTAGTTCTTCACAGCGTATTCGATAGTCATCTTTGGCAGCTTCTAATCTGTAGAAATGAAATATAACAGAAAATAATCTCTCCTTTTGAGCCACAGTTACCTTTACTCATCATAATCCTCTCTAAAAACACAAGAAACTGGTGTAGTGAAGGAGAAAAGCAGCCCAACGTGCTTATTCAAAAACATAGAAGCAGATGGACTTTTTGGACACTCCCAATTTGACATCAGTCTTTCTATTTGAAGATCACAAGGTAATGTATTTTCTCAGAAAGACAAATCCTGAGTTCTTCCTGTCATAGTGATTTTTCACAATGGAAGCTCAAGCAGAATTTTCTACCTTTTTTCATGCTGGGGCATACAGAGTTTGAACATGACATCTTTATCCTAAGATTTTGTTCAGCTGTTCAACTCCTATATACCTTCAACAATACTGACCTGATTGTCAGATGTTCTAAATGCTGTAGAGCTCTCACCAAGGTGGCTTTATTTATTTATTTACTTGCTTATAGAAGAACCTGTCCCTGCCCAGCACCTCTGAAGAACCAAGTCATACATATAGTTATCTAGTTAGCACATAAAGAACTCAGACCAAAGGTTCTGGAGTGGACTACTTAAATACAGCATACACAGGCAAAGCGGCATTAACCTGGCAGTGAACATAGGGAATAACTAAGAGAAACATCGTCAAAGCATCTTGAACGCATGGAAGAGGACACAACCCAGAACATGAAGTCCTATTGTGATTTTGATCTGAAATTAAAATAAGAACAACCCAGAAAAGGATATATGAGCATGAAAAAACAAGTATTTTATCCATTAATTCAAGGAGTCCAAAAAGAATTTACAAGAACAGAGACAACAGATACTCAGCAGGTCATCTAAACCACGTAAAACAAAGATTTGGATCTCGATAGACTGGAACTGTCAAAGGACATAAAGAGGCCAAGACTGGGAGAAAAACTGCTGTACCACACTGGGCATCAAGCTAAGCTGCATAGATTGGTCAGGTAAAGCTGGGGAAGGAATGCACACAAACTGCCATTAGAAACCACATACTATGCAGGCAGCGGAAGGAGGTGAAGGACATTGGGAGATGGGTCTCACAGGTGAAAAGGTTTTAGAAAGAGCCTCAGAACCTGAAACTAGAGTAACAGGTGGTGCAGACCTTGCATATGGGGAGAAAACCTGTTCAAACAGGAATTGAGAACAGACTCAGGTAGGAATCATTCTAAAGCATGGAGATTAATAAGGAGAGATAAAAGGGGACATCAGAGAGACATCACTACATTATTCTTTTACATAGTAGAGGTATAGAAAGAAGAAAACCAGGCACTAGCTGCTGTGAAAGAAACACTGAACATTTTCCCAGAAACTGAAGGGAGAGGGTGTGTCTGAAGGAAAGACTTAGCAAGAGCAAGTGAAAAAATAGCAAAACAGGCAAAAGAAGGAAAGTTACATGGCAGCTGACATATGAAAATGGCAACAGAAGAGGACAGAAAGAGAAGGAAAACTAGCAGTGTAAAGAAATACCATAGTTTCACTCACAAAGGATAGGGAAAGTACAGCAACAGGAATGAAAAGATGGTGAAGTGGACGAGCTTTCTTCAGCAGAATAGGCTTACATAGCATGTAAGCAACAGTCAAAAGACCAGGCAGGACATTTAAAGAGGAACTGTATTTCCACATGTTGAGGAAATGCAAATGAAGAGCAGAGGTCACCTGTGGATAATCTCCATCTTTCACATACGAAACAATTTGTTTTCAAACTCAGAAAAGGACACACTGCTGTATAATACCACCACCTGTAGTACTACCCATAGCAAACTTTCAGCTAGGAATTCCTACACCTTAAAAATACAATCAGAATAATATACATAATGGAAAGCATGTTACTTTTCATCCTTACTGATTTTCAAAAACATGGGCGAGATGACTGCACACAAACAATTCAACGTAACTTCACAGAGTGATATGTAGACATCATTCCAGAACCAAGAAATTAAGCATTTTTTTATGCTGCAGCTTGAAAAGAGGTAAATCATAACATGTACATCACTAAAAACTTCACTACTGTGGTTATACCACCCATTATACTAATTCATAATTTCCAGCAGAACCAGAAGTTGTGCCTGTTGCCAGCTACAAACAATCTAACCACCTGCAGATTTTCTACCTGAATGTTTCTTCTTGGAGTTGTTCTAGCTGTGTCTGCAGCTGCAAGTGCCTACGACCTGCAGGGCTGTTGGGATCTTCAATAGAATCAGATTGATTTAAACGTTCCATCAAAATCTGGTTCTCAGCAAGCAAGCTGCTCTTCTCCTCCTGGAGGGCTGCAACCTGTTGTAATAAAAGCAGGAACTGGAATAACTGAGCTGTCCCGCAACAGGGAGCCATTTTTCTCATGTGCATAACAAAGTATTGACACAGTTCATAAATGGAAGCACACAGACTTCAATGATCACATTTCACAAGAATATGCTGTACCTTTAATAGGTATTCAATTGTTATGTGATGTAACCAACGTATTGCAACAATAGGGGCAGATCTGCCACACAGAAAATGTAAATATCCCTAATTGTATTTCGCACAAGCATCTAAAGAAAAAGTCTTAGTTATCTCAGAAGGTAACTTCATTATAATGAAGTCTGCATAGTTTCCCAGCAAACAAAATTAGCCCTCCACAGTAAGGCATTTAAAACTGATTTCCAAAAGAAACAATCCCTGTCAATCACACAGAATATCCAAGTCTGGATATTCAAGGGATGGATGTGCGCTTCCTAGGTTTTTTTTTAATCCAGTGTCCAATTGCAAGCACATCTGAAACAGAAACACAGTCCCAAAGATGACTTGGTTTCTGCCAATGTTGTGAAAACAGGCTATAGTCCAAAGAACGCAAAGTGCTGCATCTCAAACAACAGCTGAAGGATGGGCACATATATTATTAAATAGCATAGAATTAGCATGCAGGAGGAGGGGAATAGAGGGAATGTGAACATCTCAACAGAAGGAAATGCTTCAGTAAGAGCCTGAACCATCAAATACACCAAAATCAACCATGACACACAAATTGGCTTCATGAATTCTAACAGTTGCTGTACTGCTTGGCAAAAGCCTGAATTATAATCCAAAGTATGGTTGCAATGGTAATGCTTTTCAGGGCTCCCACTTTACACTCTTCATGTCTTCTGGACGAGGTATGCCTGATTTACAGCAAATCTTAGTGTAAATCCATACAAAGCTGATAGACCACAGTAATTTCTGATTGGAATTTAACTCCTAACTGGAACTGTTATAGCAGCATAACCTCTATTAGCTCTCTAATGAAAGAGTGGAACCACACAGCTCAACCCCTCCCTACCTCAATGAAAAAAAGTTTCATTAGCAGGAATCATCTTAATACTGGCAACATTGCATCAAGATAAGAAAACAATGAAACTGACTCTGCTAGCACACGTAAAGCAAAGTAACCCCTTATTACAACAATTATCATCTCCCTTTTAAAATACATGATTTCATGTTACGCTTCTTGTTTTCAGCTGCCTAAAAATTAACACATCTCTTTCCCACTTCAAAATTTATACATACAATATAGCAAACCTACCTGCATATCTAACTCATGACATCTCTGGGCAATTTCTTCTTTTGTTGCTAGTGCTTCATTTAATTCTTCTGTAGTTTTCTTCAGCTACCATAAATAACAAACATTTATAGTTTCATCACTCTTGGTCAAGCATCTAAAAATAGTCTGAACTACATGACTGTCAAATTATTTTTACATTTAGGTAATCTATTAAATTTTTGGAAGACTGAGGCAATTCTGCTCTTACACAGAAACAAAGAAGCAGATATGATCACTGCTTAGTCTGTGTAACAGTAAAAAGTAAACATACCTAGAAGTAATACTTGGTCTTACAAAAATACATTAGAATTATCACATCTATGCTATGAATTGAGCCAAAAAGTCCTGAAGAACTCATCAACTCTGTACACAGAAAAAATTGTCAATACCACTTTTCTTTACAGATGTAAAGAGTGCATAATTTCAGCTTTCGATCTAATTCTCAAATACAGGAAGGACTAGAAGGTGGAATACAGGGAATGGACAATTAGGGTAAAATCTCTCTAGTGACTGGAAGCTACTCTTATTGCACAACAGGAATACAACTAACATGGTGAGGGAGAAGCCTACTCTTCTGAAAAAAGGGCACTGAATTTTGTAAGCAGTGAGAAATATTCAGATATTTCCCTTTAAAAACGCTTTATGTTCAAAGACATGTATCTTGCAAGTTTGCATACGAATGCCATTAAGATAACATAAAAAACATAGCTACAAGAAAAATAGCCTGATAAAACAGGCACATGCTTATTATGCATACAGAGATGTAGATTATTATATACGATGAATTTTAGATGGGCTTTCTCAAACTGCATCACCATATCTTATTTTTTTAAGTTTATATCTCAAGGGCCTGTTGACATACAAAAATTAAATCCAATTGCCAGAATTTACATACTTCTGCAGAGAAAGTATGATGGAGGAACACATGGAACACCAACGCACTATACTTACTTCTCAGCTGAAAAAAACTGAGGAAGTAGCATGAGTTTAAGCTAGTATAAAAACAATTGGGTTTGCATACTCTTTAAACATATCACAGACGGAAGGATTCTCTTTGAAAACTTCTCTTACATATTGTAACAGTTCTCAGGACTGCTTTAAGGATTTTTGAGTCACATCTACGGGGATTTTTAAATGACTTTGGAAGTAGAAACTTGCAAAAATGTTTTACTTGAACACTACCCATTTTTAATCCTTGTCAATACCCCAAAATTTGCACCAGTCTGCCGTTTTGCTATACTATGTCATACAGCTAAACGTATTTTCCAGACTGAGTTTTTCTCTCCTTTAAATACACAAAATGGGTAAATACAATTCATAAAGCAAAAGTAGTTGAAATACTAAAATTTAGTTTTCCACTCCTTATTTGAATTTCCCACAAAACTCTTTCACGATAAAAGAAAAAAAGACAGACTGCTTAATAAAGTAAAATGCCTGGGCACTGATGTGCTATGATTGAAGGAAAAGAAACATCTAGTCTTAGATACCTGCCGATCAAGGTCAATGTAAGCATCATTTCCAAGAGAGACTGGAGACTCTTTACTCATCAACTGCAATTAGATTACACTGGATTAGAAAAAGCAAGGATTTGTTTTATATCAAAAACTATGCTTCAATGAAATACCAAGCTAATTTTAACTCTTGGGAGCTTCAGTGTGACTTCATTAGGAAGTTTTAAACTGCATTTTTACATGACATATTCAGAAACAATTACAGAAAGAAATCTTCAGAATTTATAATATATAAAGCACTATAAAAGAAATCTTACGTAATCTCTTTTTCTTCTGAAAATGCACATTCTTCGTCTCTGATGAAACCTAGAGTACACTTCTGCTAAGCATTTTACTAAAGTGACATCAGAATAATGATAGCTATCAACATACCACGCAACACCTGCTTTCAATTGTTCTCTGCCAGTGGTTTTCATTTTTCGATCACCTGGAAGTTCACACCAAGGTGTTTATTTATTTAACTAAAGTTGGGTACGTAACCATCTCAGCTAACTGTGCAAAAGAAAGATGATCAGAACTCTTGCTCTGCAGTTGTCTGTAATTCGCAAATTTAAAAAGAAAGTCTATAGAGAGTATTCCTGAAACGAGTATTACAGTTCCTTGCATACTAACCTATTTTATTGCAGGAATGGCTGGCAGTGATATTAGTCTAGAAAACATTACTTTGTACGCATGACCTGTTTGTTTTTTGGTTTTCTTTTTTTTAAAAAAGGCAAGTCCTCCAAATTGACTGACACGTTCACTAAAAGATAAAAGGCTGGTACGAAGGTTTTCTTTCAGTTACCCCCTGATGGTAGCAAAAAGCAGGTAGTAAAAAGTTACACAGGTAGCAAAAAGTTAAATCAAATGGAACAGAAGTTGCAGCCCGAAGACCTCATCCCACCCACCTCCAGCAAATATATTTGTAAAGTTATTACTGAAAAGCTGTACAACACAAAAAGGAACAGTCTTCCAAAGAAGAAATATGCTGTAAGTAACTCAAAAGGCAGCATTTTACAACCACACTGATGGCTTCTGTCATTCTGTACAGACACAAAATGTTTTATGAGTTCTCCAATGACACAATTCAAGGAAGCTGCAGTCAAAAAGGCCCCATCCTAACCAAAATCAGGACAAGATTTCTTTCCTAAGGCCTCCTGTACAGCCTGGTTTCTCTCTCCAGCGATAGGACTTCATTTATTCCTTTCAGAAACCAGGGCTTTTGCCCTGCTTTTCATTGGCAAAGTTCCTCGGATACACAGCACAAAGCTTCTCCCATCCTTTCATTTTATACTAAATATAAAATGAAAGGATGTGTACAAGAGAAAAACTCTGTTTGACATTTACATCATTCAAATATTTACACACTGACATTTCTCTCCCTTTCCCCATCTCCTTAATTGGGATTTAGCCACGTACTACGTGCTTAAATTCATCTGTCATCAATAGTCCTTCTCAGTCCTTCACGATGTTTGCTGCTAACTGCTGAATTCCTTCCATTTTCTGTACATCTTTACAATGACAATGACAAACTACCCCAAAACAAAGCATTCCATGAAGCTCAGGTTCTCTGCAACAGTAATTAGAAAGTTCCCAGCTTCAGAGCCGTTCCCTGAAAAATGAAGTCACATATCTTTTTCACTACCATATATAGTGGCATTACAAACTTGTATTTAGGGCCATGTTTTCTAAGCTGACTATTGCTTTGCCCTCCAAACCAAGAATTTCCAATCCCTCTCTGCTCAGTGATGTTTATACACATTTCAATTACTCCAGCTCACTAGCTACTGTTTAAATACTTTTCCAGGTGACTAACCGGGATATCTGTATTAAACCAAATACTGAACTCTTCTCCCTATTCTATATCCCACAACACTGTTCACAAACATGCTTCATACATCAGGTAAGTTCCACCCATTAAGCCAGTACTTTCCAGCTGGCAGGTCCCAGGCAGCATACAGCCTGCAAGGGTGTACAACAGTACGTCCCTGACAGCGACCACCCCTTTCTGGCCCTAGCACAACTTCCTCTTCAGAAACCCAGCTTAACAGGCCTGCCCAAGACTTGCTGCAGGAGGAATTCAAGAGGCTGCACAACCCACTAGAGGCCACTGTGGTATTACTGCTTTCTGTGGACTACCGTAAAGGAAGCAGGCCAAGGCCAATGATATAAACCCTTTCTTGTTTGATGGATTACGTCACCTCTCCCAAAACTCTCTATCCTTGAGAACCCTTAGCAGAAATGTCCAGAAAAGAGGACATCAGCTGGAGAAGCATTAGGCAGTGGAGATACATGGCATTAGTGTAGCATGAATGTTACACAGAATTTGTGAATTTCAGTCCACAGGGTACATCAGGAACGTCACAGGAACTGTGCAAGAGACACTGAGAGCAAGAGCCACAGACACATGTGTAGATGACCGACTCAATGCAACAAGAAGCATCCTGCAATCTTATGGCCTGCGATATGGTGGGGATGCTGAAGAAGAAATCTAAGGGATTGTGCTGCGTCCAGTAGCACGACCAGACAAGGAACAGGAATGAGATTGCCAGATTACTCACAAGTAATACAGGAATCCAACTTCTGACCACCAGTTAACAATAAACTGAAGTTAAGAAGTGGGGTCAGAAGGGAGAGTTGTCAGGGCGAAGGAGTGCCTCCACCTCTTCCCTGCACATCTCCCCACACAGTGGAGAGGACAACGTTTTATGTAAGCAAACATCTTGATTGTGCTCTGCTTCTGGATTGACTCTACCCAGGACTTAATAGCAAACACTTTACTGTAAACAGCACAACTAATAGGGTACAACTTCATTCACCTATCCAAACTTCTCTCTCTCTTTCATAAGATTTCCTGAAAAATTGAAGAAGTTTTACTGAATACTGTCTCTTAGCATTTCATACAGATATGTGTGTCACCTCAAACGCACACTACTCCTTCCACCCACCTAAAAAACATAGGTAACAGGTTTGCTAGTTTCCCCTATTCTTCACTTTGTTTCTTGTCAATCAGCATTCTCTCATACTACTGAAGTTTAGAGCTCCACCATGCTCATTTCATCAGTTATCTGCTCACGGGCGTATTTTTAAAGCAAATTTCCTTACTGTGTTCTGCTATACATCTCCCTTACCTACAAGCTCACATTCAGACAAATTCCTGAAATACTGATGTAGTTTCAGTGCTTCATGTGCAACCTGCAAGAGTGATATCAGAACACACAGTCTTGGGAGGTATGGGTCAATGCCAATACTTTTGAGTTTAGAGTGGCAAACTTCATTTCATTTATATTTCAGTTAGCTGACTCAAGAGAATAAAATCTCTTGAGAAGGAAGTGGCCTTCTCATTCTCCCTCCACAGCTGCAAGTTTTCTTCAGGAGCAGACTACAGGTGGGCATAAAGGTCTGCTTTCATAATTTTGCAGCAATGGAACTGGCTTTCAGTTCTAAACTCACAATTTAGCTTAAGTATAGTATTATCATCTATTTTCACATGTACCTTTAATGGCTGATAATGTTCAGAGATTTTACAAGTGAATTGATTGTTAAAAGGGAAATCGAAAAGTGACTGCAATATCAAGCATTTGCATTAGGCCTCTACAATAGAAGGAAAACTCTCCTTAAGAGCTTCCCTGTGAAAAAATAACTAACATTTACTTGCTCTTTTTCTGGTTTATTTTGCATATTCAGAATGAAGGTCTGAAGTAGCACAAGTATACGTTCAAATAATCAAAATGTCCTTTGAAATCAGAAGAGCTTCAATAAGCTGTGGTGAGGGGGTTAGTCTGGATTTTAAACGGTACTATAACCTGGACAACATCACAATTTTTATAATTCTTTCTCTAGTTTTGTGAGAAGCAGTTGGCATTCCCTGTTAATCCTTTACATCTATACATTTTCATACTTGTAGCTTTGGTATGATGTCTTACAAAATATTTGTAGAGCTGCTAATTTTATATTATTAAAACCTCCACTTTTTAGCTGCTTTGCTCGTTGTCATGGATACTTAAAGACTAGGGAAGGGGTAAAACTCACAAAATCTGCATGCATGAATAACCTGAATTATGAATGTTTTTTTCCCCTCTTCATATGAGTTGCATGATTTTGTAAATGCAGCTGCACTACTTAGTTGATGATGTTAAAAGTTCAAAACATTTGCTTTATCCAAAATGCATCTTCTACAGTTGATGATCTTGTACAAGCTCATTTAAGTGTCCAGGAAACAACATCAAAATGCAGCTTCTGTATTCACAAGGTTGTTTTTCTTTTTTAAACGTCTTTTTGTTTGTTTGCTTTTTTGAGAGTCAAGACTATGTATGACACTGTGTTTCCTTTCACGCAGCTACACTTTCTTCTTCCTCCAGTACTGCTAACAGACCCAAGTAAGTGTTTTTCTATATTTTCCTAACTATTCAAAAGCCACTTTTACTTGAGACAAGACAAACCTTTAAACAGTCAGGACAAAATACCGGGGGAAAATGCCAAACCCAAACAGTTTCTACTTTGTGGAAGTAACACGGTTGGTATTAACACAGATAGGAAGCACCTTTTGCTATGCACCTCAGGTAAGTTTTGACACTAGCTCTAGTACTTTGCTGTTAAGAGCCTATTATGACTCTTACCTTGATCTGCACAGACACCTGACAAGTGATCAAGCTTAAAGATGCCCTAAACAGAGGAGGAAAACTAGCTACCCAGCTACCACTTTCAGCAATAATTAACTAGGCAGTTCAAAGAAAAGACTTGGGAAAATGACAGCAGAATTTCCAAAGGATGCCAAGGAAAGGAAAAAGAAATACATAACGGGCAAAATAATTTCTGTAAGGAAAGATTTTTTGGCCTTTAAAAATAATCTGAAAATTATGACCCCCTGTACTCAGCACTGATGAGGTCACACTTCGAATACTGTGTTCAGTTTTGGGTCCCTCACTATGAGAAAGATATTGAGATGTTGGAGCATGTCCAGAGACGGGCAACAAAGCTGATGAAGGGTCTGGAGAACAAATCTTACGAGGAGCGGCTGAGGGAACTGGGGTTGTTTAGTCTCGAGAAAAGGAGGCTGAGGGGAGACGTTATTGCTCTTTAAAACTACCTGAGAGAAGTTGTAGCAAGGTGGTGTTGGTCTCTTCTCCCAAGTAACAGGCAACAGGACAAGGGGAAATACCCTCAGGTTGTACCAGGAGAAGTTTAGACTGGGTATTAGGAAAAATTTCTTCACAGAAAGGGCTGTCAAGCATTGGAACAGGCTGTCCAGGGAAGCAGCTGATGTACCATCCCTGGAGGTATTTAAAAGACGTGTAGATGCAGAGCTTAGGGACATGGCTTAGTGGTGGAGTTGACAGTGTTAGGCTAATCGTTGGACTCGATCTTGAAGGTCTCCTCTAACCTAAATGGTTCTATGACTATAACATTAAAAAAATATACTATTCATACTAATATATTAAATACAAGTAATAATAAATTATAATAACAAACAGAATATAAAATTATATATTACAGAACATACCACATAGTACATAATTTATATGTAGTATTTTTTGTAATATTTTTGATAGTTGTATCATTCTTCTCTTCCTCTATCTTGTGCACAGCCTGCATTTAGAAATGCACACCTGCGTATTAGAATCTAAGAATCTAGGTGGTGGCAATACACCACATCAATTTGACTGCACTGAAAAAATAACAGAAAAGCATTGTCAATTTATAAAACCTTTATGGAGCATGAGGCATTTTATTAATAATCTTTTACTTTACACATTTAAATAAGTGTAGAAAGGAAATGCTGAAGAGTCACAAGTTGTTAAAGAAACTGAAATAACCAACCAAAATTTAAAACATAATATGTCCCATCTTCCATTTAAAAATCAGCTGCTTCATGCAAAAACAGAGAAAATGGGGCAGAGGCTTGTTCTGTTGCGCCTCATGAAATATTTTCAGGAGTAAGATGATTTACAAAAGCCAAACTATCCAAAAATTTATATGTGCTTTGCTAAAACAGAATAATTAATTACATAATACATCAGCACAACTTAGAGAGGTCTTTTTACACACCTGATTTTGAAGAAAGAGTACCTGCATGTCAAATGCTTTGAAATGTTTGGATTAGGCAACACACCAACTTTTCAAATATGCATATATAGCTACTTTCCTAGGCACTTTATTTTGGTGTCTCCTACATATTGCTTAGTCCAACTCACTTGGCTCATGAGAGCTGCTTGGAGTCCAAGACACAGAAAAACCTCCTTAAATCCAGTGAAGTTTCACCCTTCCAAAGACACAAACTGCAGATGCGGCTCTGAAAAGCCTCTCTGTATCTAAACTCATGCTAGAATCATAGAATATCTCAAGTTGGAAGAGACACAAAGATCACTGAGTCCAAATCCCTGCTCCTCACAGGACCACCTAAAACTAAACCATATGGCTAAGAGCATTGTCCAGATGCTCCTTGAACTCTGACAGGCTTAGTGCCGTGACCACTTCCATGGGGAGCCTATTCCAGTGACCAACCACCCTCCCATTGAAGAACCTTTTCCTAATGTCCAATCTGAACTTGCCCTGATGCAGCTTCATTCCATTTACTTGTGTCCTGTTCCTTGACCTCCTCCTCCACTGCCCCCCTTGAGGAAGGTGTACACTGTGATGAGGTCACCCCTCAGCCTTCTCTTCTCCAAGCTGAACAAACCAAGTGATCTCAGCCACTTTCATAAGTCTTGCCCTCAAAACTTTTCACCATCTTTGTCACTCTCCTCCAGACACACTCTGGTTTGACGTCCTTCTTACACTGAGGCACCCAGAACTGCACACGGTACTTGAGGTGGGGCCACACCAGTGCAGTGTACAGTAGACCATCATCACCCTCGACTGGCTGGCTATGCTGTGCTTAATGCACCCCTTTTGGCTGCCAGGTCACACTGCTGATTCCTCTTCAACTTGCCATCAACCCAAACCCCCAGATGTCTTTCCGCAGGACTGCTCTCCAGCCTTCCGTCCCCCAGTTTGTGCATATAACCAGGATTACCCCATCCCAGCTGGAAAATCCAGTACTTGCTCTTGTTAGATTTCACGTAGCTGATGATTGCCAGCTCTCTAATCTATGCATATCTCTCTGTAAGGACTCTCTACCCTCAATGGAGTCCACAGCTCCTCCTAGTTTAGTATCGTCAGCAAACTTACTTAAGGTACATTCAACTCCTGTGCCCAGATCATTTATGAAAACATTAAAGAGCACTGGCCCTAAAACTGACCCCTGGGGAATTCCATTAGTGACTGGCTGCAAGCCTGATATAACCCCATTTACTATAATTCTTTGAGCTCAACCCATCAGTAAATTGCTCACCGAAGTACTATGGACTTGTCTAGCTGTATGCTGGACATTTTGTCCAGAGTGATACTGTGAGAGACAGTATCAAAAACATTGCTAAAATCCAAACAATCCACATCTACCTGCCTCTCTTGGTCAACTAGACAGGTGACCCTGTCATAAAAGGAAATTAAGTCAGTTAAGCAGGACTTTCCCCTCATGAACGCATGGTGGCCATGACCAATGACTGCATTGTCTCTGAAGTGTTTTTCTGTAACTCCCAGATGACCTTCTCCATAATTTTGCCAAGCACTGAAGTGGGATAGGCATGTAATTACCAGGGTCTTCCTTCTTACCCCTCTTGAAAACTGGGACAACCTTTGCCAGCCTCTGGTCAACCGGGACCTCTCCAGACCCTTAAGAGCATTGAAAAATAATGGATCAAAGTCCCCCTCTCAAAGTGTCTTAAAGTTTTTGAAACACTGACATCTGTGTTAAGCACCTGAGATCTTCCTCATCCGGTTCTGAATGTCCTGGATTTCTAAACAGCTTGGAAGGTAGCATTAAAATCACGCAGAACTGCACCAGTACCTGAATAGTAAGCTTTTTGATTTACTAAGTTTCAAAAATTTGTTTTATAAGAACACACCCTCATCCTGTGATTTCTCCCCACTTCTACTTCCCATCTCTGAGAAAGGGCACAAACACTAAGCTATCTCAATGCCTACTCAACAAATGCTGAAAACTGTGGGCTCCATCAGATCTGGCTATTTTATCAAACGAAGATTTTTACAAAAATCAAACAGGAGATTTTGAACAGGAGGTGGGAGGGTAAGAGAAAGTTTTCTATTTTAAGATAGTGTAAAAAATAATGTGATCCAGAATAAAGTGGTGCTGAAAATTGTGTTTAATAAAAGAGGACACTAAAAAAATCCACCAAAACATTGTATTACACTTAAAAAGAATGCAAAAGTAAAATACGCCAAAACTCAGCCTAACTGGCGCTTTGCAGTACTGACTGGAAGATGATTTAGCATAAGGATTCCTCCAAGGCTCTTTTCAAAAGCCCTCTCTGCAATGTTAGAGATAGCAGTCCACAGACAGACAACAAGATATATGACTGCATGGATCCAGCATTGGTCAAAGTGATGATAGGGGACGGGGTCCCTGCAGGCTCACTGACATCTCCTTCTCTACTCAGACATTACGGAAAAGTGAAATTGCTCTGGAGCTCAACATGGAATTCAGTTTTTCTCATTCAGGTTTCGAAGAAACGGGATTAACAGCGATTTCCTGCTTTCCTTAATGGCCTGCCATGCAGTAAACTTCCATCTATGAAGGCTGATAGGCCCTTCACTTATGGGCACTTTGGCCTCCCAAGAAGTCACATGGGGGCTTCATGGCTATAGTGGTCACTAGCACCATGGTTTAATTTTCACTGTGGTTTTAATTTACTACTGAACAGCACTTTTACAAAATACACGGCACTATACTTACTAACTTGTAAAAACATACTAGCACACATACCTTCGTTAGCCTATTCATAACACTACAGCTGACAAAAGACTATTTCTCTTCCTTTTCATGTGCCCAGTAAACAAAAAACAAAAAAACACAGTTCATGAAATATGGCAGTTTCAAGGTACAGATTTCGAAGAAACTTTCCAGTATTTGGTTACTCTTATGAAACCAGTCTAGCGCACTTCAGGAGCCACAGGGTGGGAAAAGTAAAGGAAAGAGAACCCAGTATCAAAAACATCTAGAAGATTCAACCTTCTAGATTTAAAGAAAAGTGGGACATTCATCCAGAGTTCCTTAACATAAAGCAAGCTTTACTGATTTGTTTTTCTAAGGAAAAAAAAGGATATTTTTCAACGTAAAATGACAAAATCTATGTCCCTTATTTTCTTTATTTTCAACTAAGTTTTTCCAAAGTGAGAAAAAGCATACTTTTGTAAAACACTGAAAGGCTGAACTTTTACACACTGTGGATACCCCAACATACCTCCTGAATAGCTGTCATGACAACATGTTGAACCGATTCTTCCATCATCATTATGGTCTGGATGTACTCTGAAAATAAGAGCATTCTGAAATGTTACTGTTGAAACTCAAGTCACACAGAACGTGAGGCCAGAAGCTGCATCCTTCCTACAGAATGACCAGGTGTCACAGATGACACTTGAAACGCATAATCACCAGTCAAGTCCCACACCAAAAACACAACAAGACTGTATCAGAAGTATCTTCAGACATAAATCCAGGCTCACTGGAACTCTGCAACAATGAAAAAAGTATGATTGTCATCCATTTTTTTCCTTCTCGCATATCATACTTCTGAAATAACTACTTACACTACTTTTCGTCCTTTGCTGGCCAACTATTGAGCCTACACAAGTACACCAGCCACACATAAACCATGATTTTCCATCAGTTTGACAATAACGTCCTGCCTTCCCACAGCATTCTCATTTCAAGGCATTTTCACATCCATTCTTGGTTTCTGTTCTTATTTCTGAGCTACATCACAAATTAGTCACCTCCACTCTTTCCTTCCTCTCTTAGGGGAGGATGTGAGCTACACAACAGGTACCTGCTAAGATGATACAGTAGTTAGAATGACAAATTCTGACATTTAGATGAAGTCAAGGAGTTTATGAATTGCCCAGTATCATACAGTTTCCAGTCAGATACAATCACCTTTACATACGACCTGTATTCTTTTAAAGATTTGCCCCAAGAGAAAGGTGCTGGGAATCAGACACCTCAAAGTGACTCCTTATGTCACGTCAAATCTCACTCAAAGTACATAAAACTAGACTGTTCCAGCATTTCAAAAACAGACCAAAAGAGTAAGAGAAATACAGGAATAAGATATACTTCCCACCTGAGGATGCCAAATAGTCACCAAAGGATAATTTTACATAAAAATGAGAGGACAGAAAGTCTAATAAAACAGGGTTATTGGTGGAATAAAACTACCTCTATTTTAATTAATGGAAAGGGAAAACTAGCTATAAAAGCTAACATGCACCATGCAAGAGGAAAACAAGAGGTTGGAAACCCTGGCTGTCATTTTGCCAGAAAGGAAACCAAAATGAGTTAAATCAGGACGAGACAGATATTTGACACAACTTTTATGTAAATAAACAGTTTTATTTACCCACATGTGCATTTTATAAACATGTTCCTACGCTTCTGATTTTAAGTGTTAAGAATAAATGTTTGTAGATGCTTTCTTACCTTAACCTGGTTTGAATTAAGTGTACTTTAAGCTAACCGGGTAACAATAATATACCCTGCACCCAACACCAGTTTAGAGCATGAGATTTGGGACACTTTTAACAAGCACCTCTGTCATTCATCACACCCTCTGTGGCACCTGCAGGAAAAACGAATGGGTCCCTATTTCACCTGTGCAGGTCAGATAGACATTTGGTGCCTTAGGAGTCAAGAGAGGAAGAAGTCTCTTCCAGTGACTGCTGAAGTGGGATTCAATTGCCTAACAGATGCCTCCAGTGACTTTCTGGATGCCGTTGAGGTATCATGCTTGGTCTTCAGCTGCTGCCCAGCATGGCATGGTTACCAACATTACTTTTTTCTATTTGCCAACCCCATGCAAAAGCCTCAGAAACTGCACAAATCACAACTAACCCAAATCACATCAGACATCTTCAGATGAATCCCCCCAGTCATACTGATAGCTCTTGGCCATGTAGTATGATGCTGACTACATTCCCAAAATCAAGAGTCACAAAGAATCGTGCAACAAGCACATTTTTGGATACTTAACCATCCCTATCTACCTCATAAATAATTAAACAGTGGGCCCAAGCATTTTCCTTTGTAAAGTCCCTTTTCAGTTCAGCAAACCAAAACTGAAAACATGAATGCTGGAAGCAAAAGCAGTTCCACAATTTGAGACTACGAAACTAGTGAAGCTTAAAACAACAGTTACTACCTGTAGGACAAAATCACGTCATTGCTACAAAAAAAAAAAAAAAAGTACATTTGTCTCTGACAGTAACCTGAGATATATAATTTTTCCCTTAAGTAGTTACACAACAAGCTGGATTTTCATTCACTGCCTGGTAGAAAATACGCTTTCAAAATGTAATACCTTGCTTCTGTTCACAATTCACAGCGCATCCCAAAATAAGCTGAAGCATTCTCCCAAGCTCCGCAGCATCAGCATGCTCTCCAATCAGGTTAACGTCAGGAAGGGTGAAGTCATTAATCTGTTGTCCTAGAATCTGCATAAAGACCCAGTACATACATGTCTGTCACACTGCACATATACATACACACACATTTCAAAATACAAAGGTGATTCAGAATCAACACAAGCAATTCACTCGTACTTTAACAGTTTTCAGCCCACCTTTAAAAATACTAAATTGCCTAACATCTAACATGCAAATACTAAACCAGAGAAACCTGACTGTCTCTACTAATAAGAAATTATTAGTTTCAAACTTAGTAAGATATTTTTCTTCAGATAAGAAAGGTAACAAGACAGGCTTCCACAGTGATCAACAGCACATGGATAACAATTTTTTTTAAACTTTTCCATTAAAAGAAATCAAATGCCTAAAAACATTTTGTGTAGCATAACATATTATAAACAAATCTCACATTTCTTACTACTAGAAACACAGAAATTGAAAAATTTCACTGATACAACACATGCTTTTGTACTGATGGATGACATATATAAGACAGTAAAAAACTTAATCACTTGGCCTCACACTTTTACAAAATTTAAGGGAATTCAGCCAGCCTCACAGCTAAGAAAGCTAGTTTCATCGAAGAGAACTTGAGGTAGTAGTACAATACATAATTAAACAACCCACATGCAGAAAGAAAAGAAAAACAACACCCAAAACAAAAAAACCCACATGACTTATAATTAATGTAATCTGCTTTACAATTAAGAAGGATTTACATTAATGATTGTCAGTAGAAGGAATTAAACAATTCTGCCAAATTGTTCATAAAGAGCTTTCAGGGGGCTGAAATTATGAATATGAAATACAGAATTAAACACATATCTGACACGTAAATTGCAGATACAAAGAAACTGTCACTTCTTAAGCAGGGTGCAATAAAGAAACAATGACTATGGAGGGAATCAGTCCTTTGTTTGCTGGGTGCCCTTTTTTGTGTTAACACTGAAGAAAAACAGAAATCAAGTAAAGGTATTTATAAAAAACATATAACAGATGTATATGAAGAATACATGGAAATCAAGCCATTCAGAAGTTTTCCAGGGTTGAGCTTTGTGGAACTGTTGTGTTTGAGTTTGTTCTTGTTTTGTATAGTGTTTTTTGTATTGTGGCTTTTTTTTTTTTTTTTTGTGTTTTTATAGGTGTTTTTTTATTGTGGCTTTTTTTTTTTTTTTTAAACAGCTTTCTCAAAGAATGAGCACCAACACAACTAAAAATCTCTATGTTTTAAAGGACACAGATTCATTCTTGTTGGAAAAGACTTCCTTTAGGTCATTCTAATGAGAAAATAATAATTCTGTGAATGCATCAAGCACAATGGAAAACACTGCCATAGTAAACAGACTGTGATAATGCAGTAAAACAAAACATTCTTTGAATTATACAAATCTGGTACGTGTTTACGTATGGATCTGTAGTTCTTGAATTTCTTTCAAATGTAATGTAATGTGCTCAACTTAAATCTGGCAACCGCTTCACAGTTACTGATAAAATAATTAGTGCTGAAGAAAACAGAATGGAAGAGGTACATCAGCAGGCACTAGGAAGAAGCCAAAGATGCAAAGATGTAATTAAGGGATTTTGAAATAAACATGAAATATAATTTTCTTTCTTTTTTTTCTTTTTGTGGAATTAAATATGAAAATGAAAGACAGACTCTGCAATAAATATCTTGAGATGCTAACAAGTATTTTCCCCTTTGTTAAAAAATAAATATAAAAGACCCTTACAAAAAAAAAAGTTTGAACTCCAGAGCAGCAGTGTTCTGCAGCAAGTTTACTGGGGCATAACAAAGCATGCAAGCTATAAATAGGCAACTGGCTTCTTGTTCTTCCATACTATAGTTGACAAAGATAGCAATGCAGGATAGCTACTGAAAGACTGTCCTCCTGAATGTGACACACATTTTTTAATTTTTGAAGATGAACAAAATTAACATATATCAATGGCTTTTAGCTACATCAGGTAAAATCCATCTACATTCACAAATATATTTTTGTAGGTGACTGCTAGGAGAGCGAATCATGTTGAGGAAAACAAAACCAAGATTAGTAGTAGACTCGAGATCATCTCCACTATCACCGTAAGAATTGACTTCAGATAAAAAAAAAGAAACCAAACAAAAATCCAGTCAAACTTCTATATGTGAACTACCTTTGCAGAACTTTATGAGCTTGAAACAGTTCAAAACTTGCTTAGTAGTAAAGTTTTCACATTAGGAACTTAATCGTCATACATACAAACCAGATGAAAAGAAGATGGCATCACTTTGTCACAGTAGTATTTATTTTCTATAACAAAAAACTTGCTTGTTTCTTTCTAGCATTGTGAGCTATGACTAGCTTCCTTAACTATCAATTTCCAAAATCTATTTCAACATGGACACCTGGCCATTTACTGAATATGAGCTTACGAGTCTAGCATTTTCTTTCACAGAATCACAGAATGTTCGGGGTTGGAAGAGACCTCTGTGGGTCATCTAGTCCAACCCCCCT